TCATGTTGCTTTGGCGGCGATTCCGAGTCCTTGTTTCGCGTGTTTTTATCGCTCTCGTTGCCGTTGTCGTCGCTGAAGAGTGTCGCCGCCTGCCTGCTGCCTGCCTGCCACACTGCCGGCCAGCCTGCTCTTCTTGTTAGTATTATTGTTGTTGTTGTTGTTGGTCGTTTTGAAGTGCGCTCTAGTGGGTGTCATGTCCGCTTAGTTGTTGTTGTTGTTGTTGCTGCTGCTGCTCTTACTGTTTGTCTATTTGCCTGTTTGCCTGCCACTTTTTGTTGCTGCCTCGCAGACCCCCCAGCCGCGGGGCCTGCTTACTACTTATTTATGTATGAAGGACCTTAAACTTTGCAAAAATGAATATGGTGGCGTACAGTAAGAACAGCAACAACAACAACAACAACAACTGCAAGAGCAAGTGAAAAAAAAATAGCAGCTGTGCAAAATGGCGTCAGCTTTTTAATCACAGTCGGCGACGAGAAGCGTCCGCGCTACTCAACGCATAGTTTTGCGCTTTGCGTATCTGTATGCGTGTTGTTGTCCTTTTTAAAGTCCCCTTTATAAACGAAAGGCCCAACAACAAAAGAAGTGCAAAAAAAAAAAAAATTAATATATATACATATCATATCATTTTAGTGTGCTACTCGCAACACAACCTTCAGCATTATTTAATTTTAAGGTTAGGCGTAGGTTAGTTGACTTAAAACTAGGCCAGAGCAAAGGGGAAAGGTTAGCGCGACATTTGCTTGTTTTTGGTCTTCTATTCGCATTATGTTGCTGGCATTGGTTTAAAGGGGCTACATTTTAAATAGATGACTGCGTTGTGTATATTATAATATAGTTTTTATACTTTGCATACGATATTTAAAAGGATATCCTCAAAAGTATTCCACTATAACATTTTATTCGTTTATTCAAATGAAAGCAATTGTCCTTCCAACAACCTCTATAGGCACTAGAACTCTAAACGATGTAATGGAGTGATGTGCACGATTCTTTCTTTTCATTTAAATTTGTTGTTCAGATACATACACACAGAGCAGAATAAATTTCTAATTTCGCAAAAAAAGCCTGATATAAAAAGAAAACCTATCAAAGAAGAGAATATTTATCAACAAATTAAATATGAAAGCAAATCAACTAACGAACATTTATTTAGGAAATTAGAAAGAGATTAACCAATTATTTCACTCTAAAAACTACCATTTATTTGATATGTTCTACAAAAATTTGATTATTTTTGTTGTTGTTCAGTTATGCAAGAGCAGAAGAAATTAAAGTTTCGCAAATAGAGCCCAATATGAGAAAATCGTCATACAAATCAGTTAAGAGAAAGCAGAAACTATTTACCAAGAAATTATGAAAGGATAATTATTTAAGAAGTTAAAAAGATATTGAATGAAATATTTCACCCTTTAATACAATTACTACAAAATATTACAAAAATTATTACATCAATTATCGTTTTTATCTAAATTTGATGTTAAATTTTGTTGTTGTTCGCAGAATAAAATTCATACTTCGCAAATAGAGCCTGATATGAGAAAAATCCACATCCAAATCAGTTCAGAGAAAAGAGAGAATATCCATCAATAGATATAAAAGTATATTAAGCAACGAACATTTATTAAGGATATGAAAAAGAGATTTATGAATTAGTTCCCCTATAACCCTTCAATACAAATAAAAAATTATTTCGTCCTCGTTGGAAAATGAATTGAGAAGCGGCAAACAAAACAAAATTAATATCGTGCGATATTGAACTTTTTGAAGCCAATTTTAAGCTACACACACCTACACACAGACACACACATACACACAGATGTGCATGCCATATGTGCAGCTGACAATCACAGAGCGGTCTTGACTGGCACACTACGCACAAAACTGTCAATGCACGGGGGCAGTAGACACGACATCGGTTACAGCAGGACACGTATCCTGCTCCAATGATAAGTTCGCACTGCTATACATACACTCATACACACTATATACACATGTACATATTAATATACTATATATGTACATATGTATGTACATTCGTATATATAGCCGTTGTACATATGGATGACAGCTGACATAGAAACAAAAGTGTGTGACACAGTCACATTCTAATCTAAAATAATTGAATTGAAGTCAGATTGCAACTGATGCCTTCTGTAGCACGGCACGTCGTATATATATACGTATATATGTGTGTGTGTGTGGTTCTGTGGGTCTGTGGTCTGCCTGCCTGCTTGCCTGTAAAGTTCGTGTAACTGTTAGATACATTTTCGCAAGAGATAAACGCGCACACATGCACATATACTCGCAAGTGGAAAGAGTGTCTTTGACAGTCGCACAATGGTCCGAATTTCCCATCTACGCGAGTTAATTCTGTCACAATAATCTTAGCGGCATTAATACATATCATATTCACCAAGCGCCCTTTGATTGATTGGGCGTTTAGTTTTCTCACTTGTGCAGCTGTTGAAAAATGTGTAATCATTTAATTTTTTGATAACACAAATTTGAAAATTTCAATTATAGTAGATTGCTTGGCATCCCCCAATAAGTTGTCCCTAATATGAAGTTTATTAATTCTTTTTATGAATATTTTCTGCAAGTTGCAGATTTTTTAGCCCCAGCTGCCAACACTATTTTGTCAAAAATCAAATCAAAAAGTTTGCACATTAGATGTTACCTTTTAAAGAAAAGAGAAAAATTGTAAAAAAAATATCTATTAAAATATGTTCTAAGCTTAAATAAATTGTGTACATCAGTTGGAAGGGGATGATCAAATCTGTGAAGAGCGGACAGAGTGCAAAATTTAATTCCCAAACCCACATGATGGTTTGTTTTTTCCTTTCGCTTTCAATTTTTTACAATTTGTCTGCTGTTGCTTAACTCTGCAAAACAATTGTTCCGCTATTCAGTGTGATTCCAAATCACAGAAATTTCCTTGTACTGTGACAGATCCATACGAATTTGCAGTAAAATCATTTTTGTCTTGTGGTAGCAAATAGTTTTATTTCATTGCAACAACATCTACAGCAAAAACGTTGCAGTCATGAGTCAATTCTGCTGGAAAATCGAGCAACGGCACTTGCATTTTTGCTTGCATTCGTATTTTGTTTTTGTAAACTCTCTCGCGATCGGTACTTTGCTTTTAAATTTAGCTGGCGCCACCTACCAAACAAAAACAGAGAGAGAGAGAGGCGAAAGAGCCATTACCGCTGCATTGGAAAATCAAAGCTTCAAACGAAGTGTATCCACACTAGCAAATTGAAGCTTCAAATGTGTGTTAAAGGCAGAAAGAAGAAGAGACAGACCACGAGAGCAGAGAGAACAGTGATAACACATGTATACATGCATATGTATGTATGCTCTTCATCTTTTGTAGCCGCCATTACTGAATTATATACATATCTTAATTTCTAAATAATTTCGAGGATTATTCAAAACGAAATGAATTTGGTTGATTCGCCAATGTAAGGCACTGTGGCTTGTCTGCTATCTAAAAGTATCTATCGTTTGCGAAGTTCACGTGCTCCACTTTACACTGAGGCCGAAAGTTTTTGTGCTGCCTCTTCACGTGTGACATATGTATGCGACACGCCGCCTAAGATAATTAATGGTTAGAGGGGCTGTCGTGGTCGCAGTAGCAGTCACAGGCGGAGTCGCTAACTGGATTTTGGTTTGCAGATTGTCACGGCCTCGCCTCGCCTGGCCTGGCCTGGCCTGGGCCGAGATTTTGCACGTTTTTCAACTGCAATTAGGCGCCCACCAGTCGAAGTTCTCTCTGTATATATGTATAGGCATATATGTGTGTGTTTGTGCGTGCTTTGAGATATTGCCTTGGCTTTGCTAACAATTCGCGCTCCGCTAATTGCCAGCCATAAATTTGTATTATCTCACGTAAGTGCCAAGCGGCCAAGTTAAACTTTAACTGCTGCTTAAATAATCCATTTGCCTAGAACTTTTTGGCTGAAGAAGGGGTTGACTATGACATCTGCCACACATAATGGCAACAGGCACGCAGGTCCCAAAGGCTAATCCTGCTGCATATTCAAATGCATGATACCTGAGAGTTCGGCAGAAATGAACTTAAATTTATGATTATTATTTATAATCGGATTACTTTAAAGCAAAGGTAACATCAATTATTTAAATATTCTCTTTCTATGCCAATTTCATGTAGAGGAACATTAAAATAAAATTGAAATGTTGAAACTAATTGGATTGTTGTCTTAAAAAATAAGTAACTTGTACTAACTCTTGATACAGATAATCCTTTCGTCAGCGGTTATCAAATAAACTTGCACGTTATATCGAAAAATGTTACAATTCAGAAAGCAAACTAAAGGGCGAACAAGGAAAATACAATTGATGTAGTGGGGCTTTTTTTGGGGGAGGTTTTTTCACACAGGACTTTCGTTCCTTCGATTTTTAATTTTCACTCTTGTATTTCAGCTTACTTTACATTACAGAGTGATGCGTCTGGCTAGTTAATTTATACTAGGGAGAGAGGCGACGGGCACCGCTCTGTTAGCTAACAGCTGTAAACGACAACAGCAGCTAACAGCCTAAGTTAACAGAGCGCTGCAGCGTAAACAATTTATTTTCGCCGTTTTACAAAATTTCTGCTGGTGCCCGATCAATTTTTCTTTTAATATATAGATAAATAGAGTGAGATATTATTGTTTTTATTTGGACTCCAAATTCGATTAATTGTAATGGCAATCAGTTTAAAAGACAGATAAATGGTCGACAATAGTGCAACTATACGATTGCAATTGAAAGTTCAGAGATTTCAAAAGCATTATGAATTCTCTACCATTTATCAAACAATACAATAACGAGTTCTTCAGCTGGATATACATATGTACAAAGAAACAAGAGAGATTCCCAGGGACCTCCATTCAGCTGCCAATATGAGACAAGCAGTCAACAGTAATGGGAAAATCAATTTTAATCCCACATTATCTTCAATTAGATAGTATTTGCAGCAAAGACACTTAGTATTAAATTTTAAACAGTTCATCATATTTATTGTAATGCTCTTAAGGACTAAAATCAAAAGTTGAACTAAATTATGTATGCACAGCCCATCGAAGGGTTGCCCCTTTATGGCACCCACTCATCCACGTCGTAGCTTTTCTGCGTGAACTCGCACTGAAGGCTCGGCTTGGGTTGTCCGGCCTCCTGCTCTGCCTGCTGTCGCCGCTTCCGCCAGTTGGCCGCCAAACCAATGAGGAGCAGAGCAAAGAGCGAACCGCTAGCCAAACCAATAATGGGTATGGTAAGTGGGTTGAGTTCATCCTCATCGTCCGCTGCTTGATCGATGCTCAGCAATTGTTGCAGCAAGCTGCGGCGACAGGTAAGCGTGCCTTGGCCAGCATCATCAGCGAGAGTCGCAGCAGTGCTGCCAACATTTTCATCGTTGAGGATGGCGGTGTAGCCGCTGGAACAGACACAGGTGCCGAGCTCGTTGCAGGCCTGATGCTCACCACACACCACATTGGGTTGTCGGCAGTCCTGAGGTTGAGTGCTGGCCACCTTTTTCGGTTTGCTTTCGTTGCTTTCGAAGAGTTGGGGACGGCACTCGCCCGCATACAACACAAATCCCTCCTCGCACTCGGATGGGGGCGTTACTTGTTGGGGCGTGGTGTCGCCAAGGAAATCAAGCAGCTCCGTCACGTCGCTGAAATCCTGCAGCTCCTCGTGCAGCTCCTGTTCTCTGGGATCCATGCAGCGCAGCTTCTCGCCATTCCAAAACTGTCCGCTCACACAGGTAGGCACACAAGGCCCGCTCACGCCATCATCGGCAGGAGCTAGCGCTTGGAAGCCTTCGCGGCAAGCGCATGTGTTGGGCGCCACACAGAAGGCATTGTGGCCACAGGCTCGTTCGCAGACTGGCTCGCAATAGTGGCTGCCATCACGATGCGATTGCGCGGATACGTAGCCGTTGGTGCACTGGCAACGCTGAGGCGCCACACAGCTGGCATGGGCCGGACATCCGCGTTCGCAAATGGGCTCGCAGAGACCCGCATCCGTTTGACTATAGCCTGCACAGCACTCGCTCACCAGCTTGTATGTGAGCTGCTCCTCTTGTGTGTTGTAGACCTCCGTGAGGGTCTCGGCCTTCTTCCAGAACTTCAGCTTCGATGGCTGCCTCACGATGGTGCGTTGTTTGGTCACGGGCCGTAAACTGCGAACCGTTACGTTTCGTTCGCAGAAGTGCTCCTTGTTGGCCACCGCAGCTGTGATTAGACAGAGCCAAAGGCATGTACTGCCCACTAGTTGCTTCATGCTTCTCCGAATCACTTTTCTAATTATTTTCCGAACTCGACTTTGCAACGTTCGTTGACAAACTAAATGCCAGCCCTCAGCTGCAGCTCACATGTTGCCTTGCACGCTCAATATCGGCAGTTAGATAAAAACGCACAAGGAGATCTGAACCACCATTGCACAGTGGTGCAGAGCATTAGATATGCGAATCAAAATCTGTGATTTGGCTTCACAGATTTTTGAAAACATAAAAGAGATATTTTAGAAATATTGTATTCGTCGTTAAATAGAAATAATTAGTGTTTAAAAATGCCTTAGTTTTTGCAAAACCTTACTTATACTTACAAGTATTGGTATTTAATATTAATTAGCTAAGAAAAGTGCAATTTTTTGTAAGGTCTGATCAACATATTTTTCTTAATTACAAAAATTTGCTATATTTTGAAATGGTAGTCATTTTTAAATTCAGTTTATAAATATTTAAGAACATTTTAAGAATCTTTTTTTTTTAATTAAATGAAAATTTTTGCAAACGAAACAATTGATTTGAAAAAATTAAAAATATATATTTGTATTTTAGTATTGTGTTTTTAGCGTTAATTTCCTCGATATGTCCTCCATTACTATAAATTAAATATATGCGATAATAAAGTATTGCTTCCTTCTTAAATATAAGTAAGAGGTTCATTTTTAGACATTATTTTGGAATTGTTTAGTTATTTCTGAGTTTGAATAGTATTTTATATTAATTATCAAACAAAAATTCAATTTGTTGTATTTTTAATACGTTTGCAAATAAAATTTCACACTGAGTCGGATTCCGTAATAGATATTTTTGTAATTTTTATTATTTTTTATTTAGTAAAAGTAATCTATTGTTTTGATTTTTTTTTTTTTTGTGAATAGAAAGCTTTTTTGTCGATAAAATAAATAAAATAAAAAAATAGTAGCGAAATATTTTCATATTAGTTTATAAAGAGAGGTTAGTTATAGATAAGCCCATATAATCAAAATTTACAAAAAGATAGATGTGTAGATGTGTTGTAATTTTGTGTTGTAATGAAATAATAGTCAGAGTAATGAAAATTGACATAATTATAGATGTGTAGATTTGTTGTAGATGTTGTAGAATGAGAAGCAGCAAGCGTTTCTAGTTAAGTGTTTCTATCAACATTTTTCTATTTTCGTTCTAATCTTATATAAGTTCGAGTCACTGTGCAGTCGCTGCTTTTTCTATTTGCTTGACGAATGCCAGCAATCTCATGTGGGCACACACACATACACCAACTAGCACATGGGCTCAGGGGTTGCTCACAGGCAGGCAGGCAGCAGGGCAGGCAGGAGGGCAGGAGGGCAGGCAAGATTGTCTCTTGTTCAGCAGAGTCTGATCTGCGGTCTCAAAGGTCGTTTCTGAGCTAGCCTGGTGGTGGTTGCTGCTGCTGCTCTTTTCCATATGCTGGCTCTGCCGACTACTTATGATTATACAAAATGCTGCTTAATGTGCTCTGAATGCTTCGCCCGCATTATCGACGCCTCAACAATGGTAAAAAGTCACTGATAACCATTAAAATAGCTGTAAAGATACATTTGTTTCTGATGTGAATGAAGCGTCCGCTCGTGCAGTGCTCAATGAATAAATGCCATAGTGAGGGCTTAAGATAAGTACTATACTAAGTATATGCCCGACATGAGTCACAATGAAGTGAAGCGGAACTGCGGCGGCTTCTGTTATGATTTTCTGTTGACAAAACATGCAAACATAAACAAGTTTCCAAGTAATTATCAGCAAGGCTCTATAGTTTTAGAAGAAAACTTGTTTGAATGTCATGGCATTGGGAAATGCTATTTAATTTATTTTATACAGAATAGGTATTTCATTTACAAATTTTTCGATTTATAGACGAGCAGATTTTCAAACGAATTAGCAGAACCATTTCATAATTCTGAATTATTGCATCTACATTGTTGAAATGAATCGCTTATACTTAGATCCCATCACATAGTATTCTTTTCTCGCCATAAACCTGTTTGTCTATCAAAATGTGTCCTCGTCACGTAACGAGCCGGTTGACTTTATTGTTATTGACATGTGCATCTACCTGTTCCGTTGCCGTTTACCTGTTTAAGATTTTCCAATCGATACATTTTGGGGGACATCAAGAAGAAAGTTAATAAGAAAAAGGAAGAGCGCTAGAGTATGTTGATAACTAAACCTTATTGTTAGTTCGTTTAGTTTGTTTAAGGCTAAGTTTGGTTTAGTTTAAAAGCGGATACGGTGGACCTTTATTGTGGAGAGCCTTGTTTTTGGTGTGAACCGTAAGAATGGTTGACTACATGATATGGCTATGGTTATAAAACCAAATCGCGTTTTCGGCTGTCTGTCTGTTCACACATTTTGTTAGTTTGTTTTTGACGGAGATAGGATGGCCTTATCAGATCCTTTTATTATATATATCGCCAAACACACAATATTATGGCTTAAAAAATATATTTCTATTTATACAGGTATTACAAAAAATTTGAATATTGAGAATATTGTTGTTATTCCCGATGGTGTTGCACCACAGATGGTCGCAAAAATAAAAAAAAAATACAATTTTCCGAGTACATATATAAATTATATATAATTTCTTAGCTCATTCATGGTGCACTGTAGATATTCTAAGACTTCTTCCTGACATAAGAAACCACAGACTAGTTTGTTTAATTTAATCTACACTAATCTAAATAAACAATATAATAAACTCGCATTGTCTATGAATGAGGAACCCACTCCGAAAGTAAAAGAGCAAGAAATTGAACAGAGAACAGCTTATATAATTACATATAAATAATTTCTTATGCTTATTCAGTTTCCAATCGAATAATGGAGGACCAATATCAGATGATGCACTGTAGAAATTCTAAGACTTCTTCCTGACATAAGAAACCACAGAATATTCACTAATCTAAATAAACAAAACTAATAATAAACTCCTATTGCCTATGGATTAGGATAGTCTGCATACCAGGCTTGGTCACTGCAGACTTAACCCATCCCGAAATCGAGGCATAGATACAGATGAGTATGTCTAAATAGATTAGTTGATAAGAATGTATTTCTGTTATTAATTAAGTACTCTTCGAGTAGAGGCTAAGCAATACTTCTATATACTATCTTTCCATAATACAATTTTATTAATCTGTAAATAGGACGTCTTTTATGAACTGTCTTCCTTTAGGCAATTAATTAACTTTAACTATCACTTAATGCCTCTCACACAAGTCTTTCAAACAATCAATTAAAATCAGATTGCCTTTAAATTTTTAACTGTTTCATTTCAATAAAACGAAGACCGACAACAATGTCGAGAAAGTTCAGATATGTGAACGACGACCACTTAAATTGCAAGTTAAGTTGAAACTAAAGAGCGAGTCCCTCGATAGTCGTATGTGTGCTCATATGCCGATTACAATATGAATAAAATATTCATAAAAAGTACTTCAGGTTGGCAGGAGTAGCAGCAACAACAACAACAACAGGGGCGATATAAATTTTAAAATGGCTACAAACACACACGCATATGAAAGGGCACTCACACTAATGCGTGTGTGTTTCTCGTTGTTTGTCGGTTTGTTGCGGAACTTTCTTCAGCACAGCCCCCGCACTTTAATATATAAAGCCATTTTTTGTCGGCTGCTTATACCCGTACACATACTTGTATAATATATGTTTATGGGTATACTTGTATATACGAGTATTTGTATGGATGTTTGTTTTAAGGTATCTGACAAGCGGCGCCAAACGATCTTTTGGCCATAATCGCTGCACATTTATATATTTTTGCACTAAGCCAAATGGCAACACGCACAAACACACCCACACTCACACGTACGCACAGGCACAGGCACAGACAGGCGCATATACATACGCACATTTGAAGAGCTTTGGGCGAGAGAGAGAGAGAGAGCGGGAGCGGGAGAGCGCGCTTGTCAGCTGGAGAGCGTGGCATCAAGTGCGTTTTGGGAGAGCGTTGGCAGAAAACTTTCTTGAACATCAAGAAATACAAAGACAGTCAACAATTTGAGCGGGCAACTCGACTCCCCCACCCCCACCCACCAGTCAAGCACACGCACCAAAAAAACATCTCTGCTGACGTCGACGGTGACGCCGACGTCGTGGATGGCTGCAGCATTTGCCAGCAGCAGCATCGACGGATACTTAAAGCTTCTTTAATTTGTATGTTGTTTTCTCTCTTTGGTTGTATGGATGTACATACGATTATGTATATAAATATGTATGTAATACATAAATATATATGTATTTGTATATAAGCTTGATGCATGTGCCTGTGTGTGTGTGTGTGTGTGTGTGTGCGTTTGGCTTTGCCATTCTCTTTGATTGCTTTTGTGCGTGTGTGGCGCAACTTTTATGCATGTGTGTATGTCTGTATACATACAGCTGTACTGTGCCTACATGTCTGTATGTCTCTATGGTTGTATGTGCGCTGTCGCTGCTGCTGATGCTGATGCTGTGTGCCAGAATTTGCGTGGGAAGTTGCCCAAGGACATGGACTCGCAGCATTTGCTCTTGCTGCCTTGTTTCCATTTATTTTCCTTTTTTTTTTGTTTTTTGTTTTATATTTTTCATGCTAGTTGGCGTGCTTTTTGTTACAGCTCTTCACTTTGGCGCTGCCTCTTTATTTATTTATTATTTAGTTGTTAGCCAGAAATTTATTTTTGGCTACCTATGAAATAATACAAAGAAGAAGAAAAAAAAATGGTAAAACAACAACGAACAACAAAAACAAAAACGTGCAAAGTGGCAACTTGCATTTAATGTAATTCAACCTTACGCTATAGTGCGTGCAAAGGAGATGATGATGGGCGGAGAAAGGGAGTGGGTGGGAGGGAGCAAGCTAAAAATGGCCTCTGTTCCTGTTACTTTGCATATTTAGGTCTTTTAAACATTTGACGTTCTTTTTGTTCTCATTTCGTTTTGGCCTAAATCATATTATTGTACTCATAATGCAAAATAACGT